TACACGTATTGAATTCAAGGCATGTTAGGCGCTTTGAAAACTCTTACACTTACAGTTCGATTTCACAAACTTAAAGTTCCAAAAAAGAAGTTCATACGTGCATTTTCAAAAAGAAAGAAATTTGTCCATCATTTTATTTTTCAAACGAGCGCTGCATTACACAAATACACGTTTTAGCTACTTACATTATTGATTTCAAAAAGGTCAAACGCGTATATTAGACTGTAGTTGGCCATAACTCCAAAGACAATACACAAGGCCATAGCGTATATGCACTAAAGTAAAGTAAACCTAAATATAATACGTGAACGTGCCCATAGCCGGTTCTCGTCAGTGACGACCGATTTTAGTTAAACTTGACAATACATATTGGTTTTAAGGGCACGTTACTCTGATTTAAGCTGGCAGCCATTTTAGTTTTCACTATGTTTCTATGTGTTCTTCTGGCATATGTAGTAGTAACCCGTTATGTTCAAATATGGCACACAGACACGTGGGACACATATGTGAAGAATTGACTATTAGCCATTTTGTTAATAAATATTTTTAAATCCCAATACTTGAATGTGTTGATAACTGGTTACCGGAGATGATTGGATCGATTGGACATATTGGGTTACAGGCAATCATTGTGATTGCGTTTCTCTGGATCAAAGTCAGTCTCAAACCTTTATATTTAAGCTCAGTGATTCATATGATTCTAAAGTCAAGTGTATTTAAAGGGCGGTGGTCGTCGCGCCGCGCATGTATAATATTTGTGTTGATAACTATGTCACTTACAAATAACTTGTTCCTAGTTCGAGGTTTTGGCTGATTTATTACTGTCGGCAAATCCTTCGACACGTGACGATTTACGAAGATACTGTGAATATTTCAGTGATATTTACAACCATAGTCTTCTATAAAATACCACACACATTTATAAACATTTTCTCGACATCTGTGACACGTTTCTCATTGCCATTGACTGGCTTACCCGAGCAGTCATCGAACTGCACCTATGCGTGACCTTCGTGAAACAAGGTTGGTGGGCACCCACCAGACAGTGTCACGTGACATTTACCGGCTTACATCGTGTTAGTTATACAAATCCCACATGTTTCCTTCTTAGACTAGTTATGTTGAATTTAATTCATTCATCAAATACTTTTTTTTACGGAATGGATAAGAATGAGCTTGAAAAGATGGAAAGCAAAAATGTATCAGTTGATGGAATTCATTACTTTATCGTACTTGCAAATGACGTAATGACCACCGAACGAACCAGTTACTTTTAGTTTTTTTTAGTAACCGTGGTGCAAGTGCAAAATATATCTGGTCAATATTTGAAAATATCAAAACTTTGAAATATTGATGCTGATTAATTTAAAGCGACTAATCTAAAAATGAAAGCATTCTATACTAAGCTACTGATGTGAAATGTTCCATACCTTGTCAGGGGGAAAATGATTGGTTCATAATATATTATGGAAAATAAACTGGCAATCTCCGAGGACTGACGCAAGTGGAGCAGACAATTACCATATTTGGACACTGAAACCTACATATGGGCTCGTGTCGACAAGATACTTTGCACGTACGCTGTTTCGATAGGTCGGGCACAGACGTGTCCGCAATGGCACCGTGCATGTAATGGTTTAACGCCCACGCTTTTTCTATTGGACAAGACGTTTCATCTGCGTTTAGTACGGGTACACCCCTACGCTTCGACGACCACGTCTGGTGGAAATCACCCTAAATGTTGTCTTAAATTGGAGTGATGTAGAACCATCTATTTACTTCAGTGTAGTACAGCTATGTAATGTCTATACACAATACATCCAAATATTGAAACAAACAATTGTATACATACCATGTTTGATATTTTTTAAGATACAAGGACAAATTACTTCCTCCGTTTAGAAAAACAAATAACTGATTATTAACTAAATCTAGTTTGTACGACCTCATGTTAAAGAAACAAAATATCTCAGCCAGGGTGACAGAGTAAACTAGTTTATTTTCATTTCTCGCGGTCGCTGATCTAGATACAGTAAATACCTTGTTCTAAATTTCTTTTCTGTGTCGTTCATTCACTCCCCAGGTGGAGTCAAGCAGATTATATGCGAATATTGACCAGCTGAAATTGGGAACAAGGGATAAAGAGAATAATATGTTAATGTGAAGAGGAAATTAATTACGTGTTGAAAAATTGGGAATACGATGGAAGCAATTGCTTTATGTTAATGCAAAGGATACACAAACTTGCAGAGAACCAATTCTATCTCGCCAAGTGCACTCTCCCCCTCAACTTTCCAGTTGAGGAAACCCCTTTCTTGAGCAATGACAGACTGGACAGTTATTGCCAGGACTGTTGCTGTTCTGTTGAACCAGTCTTCCTGTATGTGATCCGGGTTTAATGTTTGACTAGTTACGCATTTGAAAACTGGAGAGATTAGGTGTTCTGTCGTCAACGTCTGCATAACGAAAATGTGTATAATAAATTTACGAACCACCGCCACCCATGCTATGGCCAATTTGCAAAAACGTTACGTTTGGTTCTTCGCCATTTGTTTCAACTAATCGCACCCATTCATCTTTTTTATCATTCTGATTCAAGTTTCAAGACATATTTCAAATATGAACGTGCATGGTGACAGAGAGGGACAACACTTTGTTCATCGTATAAGTTTATATTTGTTGTCATCAACAATGGGTTTTTTATTGTTAAAAGTTTCAAAATGATATCATTCCTAATAATTGTGTTCCGGTACGGAATCTATTTATGCTTATACATAGATGTGTACTACAACAGAGTGTTGTTCAGTGTTAGCTAACACCCAAATGAATAGTTACCTGAACTACCATTTGATAAAATATTATTTCTAAATAAATTTAATGAAAAATTA